CTAGCGTTCACCAAGGTGAAAACAGTGAGCGACGACACTTCCTCCATAAAACGTGTAACCCGGGAAGTTTCTGGCAGTTTCACGTTGTAGTCGTACAAAACAACGACAATGAAATGTACAAAAAAAGTGTGCTGCATGAGCAAAGTTGCTTTTTTGCTAATTAGACCTATTGTTGTTTTTTTACTGCTCTCGTTGTCTTCGCCGCTTTTAAGAAAAACACGACTTTATATTTTGTTTGAACAAATTATAAATATTAGCGAGAGCTTCGATTTTAGCCTCTGTTAAACATAGCAAACGACGACGGCAGCGGCAGCGAAAACGTCATTTCTAAAAAGACTTTTGCCGGCGTTTATTCAAACTTTGTCGCCATATGTTCGATTATGCCAACTGTGGGTGAATGTCCCGGGTAACCAAACTCAAGTTATAAATTAAAGCAGCCAAAAGAGAAATTCATTGTACGGTCTCGTCCTCCATAAAACATTGCATTAGGGAATTTAACGTCGTAGTCATGCAGAACGTCAAAGAAAGTGTACCAAAAATTTTGCTGCACGTGCAAAATTGTTGTTTTGCTTATTGAACATAATGCTTTTTTGAAGCTATCATTCCAACTAATTACAGCAAATGTTTGCCGTTTCTTTATTTGAAAATAGCAAGAGAGAATTACGGGTGTACTGGAAGAAAAGATATTTCGAAAGAAATAACTTTAAAATACTGTATTCTTCAGGCAAATTTGGTGAAACAAGAGTTAAACTGTAGCATTACACTGTATCGAACAACAACGCTGAACAACAAGTTCGAATCAACATAAAATGTCTCATTTTTGAAAGTTAAGTTTTAAAAAACGTCCCTCTAATACGAACATTATAATTTGTGGACAAAATGATTGCTAAATTAAAATTCCTATTCCTATTTTCAGTAAAAACTGTCTTTACCTTTGGAAGGTTGAGTTGTTGTGCAACATCCTGGCCACGTGTAAACTACGTTCGCGTGGATGAGTTCAAATGGCTTGCTCTGATAATTCCACTTGTAACTCCTGTTGGACACGTCAATTTTGAGTGTTTCTTAACTTCCACTTGTAATATTGCTGAAATGAAGAAAAATTTACCCTCAGTAAATATGATTGTCAACTTAAAAATGAAAATGAAGCCACAGAATAAGCCATTTTACCGAGTACAAAATACGAACTAAAAGCTTAATTCAAAGGGCAACGTCTACAAACCTTTTGCTTTGTTCCAGTCACGTCGAACCTCTATTCCATTCACGTCTTTTGAAGCAAAGTTAGGAAAGATGGCAAGAAGAAATTGTTCGCGAAGGAGTATTGTACTTTTAGAAACCGAAGAGTTGTAAACCTTCGCATCTTGCTGCGACAAATGTTTCAAAATTTGAACGTGGCGCGTTCAGAAATCACGTGATTAGAAAAGTGTCTCTGATTGGCTTGTTCCACGCTAAAGAAAATTTGTTTATCATTTGAATACGATACATGAAAATTCTGTCAGGGCTAGGGCCGGGGGTATATTTTGCGTTACCTCGTACAAAACTGAAACAGAAAAACAGAACTTCTAGAGGGGAAGGAAAATGTTCGTAACATCTGAGGCCAGTTACGTTGTAATGTGTAGTTCCAAAAAATATCCATACCCTCCCCCCGCCACGGAGGGCAACGGAAAGTCCGAGGGGAGGGGGGTCCGAAAGGAGGCAATTTCCGAGGAGGTAGGGGGTTGCTAACAGGGGTTTTTTTCCAGGGGGTCTGCGTATAGCCTGCGAACTAGCCTGAGTACCAGGCCTTCCTAAGGGGCTAGGGGAGAGGAGATTTTAAACGGGAGAGGGGGAGGGGGAGGGGCTCTCTCCCTTTTTGGCTTCCATCTTTCCCCTTTTCCCCCAGAAACGCCTGATACTCAGGCTACCTGCGAACGGCAGACGTTTCTCCTCTCTCATCGCCGCTGAGTAAGATTTGTTAGTTATTAATAAATAAGAGCTTCTCCGTTGAGCAAAGCTATCAGTTATTTTACTGTTACCGGTGTTTCAAAACAAGTACTATTGTTTGCATTGATCATCTTTTATCTACCGCCGGCTAAATGCCCCCCTCTAGCAGGCATTAGGGAAGGAAAAAGTGCCTTGCGTAGTCCCAATAATTTTCCCGATTTTCTCTGGATAATTTAGGGTACTGAAAATCATTGTCGAATGGGACAATTTTTTTTTATCTTAAATCATTTTCTCTAAAATAAAGTAGCAGTTTTAAAGTTGATGAAATTCACATTAATAAAGACCATTTAATGGAAATTAGGTTCGGTACATTTTATTCATCATATTTGACATACGAATCTCGTCAGGAGTAGTTTCCTCGCGGTAATGCGGGCGCATTTCTTTACGTTCATTATCTAAAATGATGTGAACTTCTCCCAAATTCTTGGTTTTTGGACAGTTTTGATGGACATGGGTTGAAACGATTATGCCAGCAAGATAATCGACTGCTCAAATCAGTGAAAGCGTAAATATGATAGAAAGGTCAGTCTTTAAAATGTCCGTGAATAAGGATTTATTGTCGGTGGCTTACAATATTTTAAGCTTGTTGGACATTTAAACACGCAGTAAACACATTTCATTTAGTGAGCTTATTTTTTGTCACATAAGGGCTATTACATTAAAAGATTAATACCCCAGGGATTAAATAAATTTTCTTCAGATGATGACAATATTGGTGAAAAAAGTATTCCAGAAACTAATCCTGTCAGACATTTCAATAACAAATTGAAAACATATTGCATTAAATATACTGAACTAATAATTTTAATTTTAAAAATAAACTGCTTAACTGTTTCATGCATATCTAGTTCAGGAGTGTCTCATAAACTAGAACTTAATAGCTTTAAAAAAATGAAGCAATTTTTAAAATTAATTATTTAATTAATTGATTAATCAGTTGACTATCTAATGTAATTTTAATGTTTCTTCTTTTTTTTTTTGCTTTTACTGATAAAGGCCAAGGTAGGAATTTTTTTTTTCTTTGCACTAGAGTATTACATTAAAAGAGTAATACCCAATTCAATTCAATTCAATTTTATTTTTCTCACTTTATAAAATATTTACATTACATATAGTAAGGTAGGAATACACTAATAAAGGGGAAGAAGAAGGGAAAAAAAAGAAAATTAATGGCTTGGGTAGAAGTGTACGGTGGTCAGAGGAGCTTAGCTTTTGAGCTAACCACCACTATATTATGACTGGAAATACATAATAAATGTGCGCTTGGTGCCATGGCAACTATGGACGATTATGTCAGCAGTCAGGTTATGTGAGACAGTCATATTACAATTGTTACCTTTGAGAGTTAACTAGAATTCGCTAATACTCTTTTTTGAACTTATGGTAGCTAAGTGTTTTTATCTTAGTAGGAATCTCTTCCCAAGTTTTGGTTATGGCAAACTTAATTTTCTACAGATGATGATAATATTGGTGAAAAAGGTATCCCAGAAAGTGTGGTGTGAAAGTTCTAAAGCTGGTCTCACCCATTTTTGTACAGCCATTGACGAGGTTGATCAATATTTGTCTATACAGAGTGGCTGTTTTCCAACTAAGAAACGGGCTCGCGTCACACCTCTCTTTAAAGATGGCGCCCAAGACTGTCAGGACAATTTTAGACCGATCTCCATGCTCTCCATATTGTCTAAAGTCTGTGAAAAGCATGTTGCTGCCTCTTTTATGGATTACCTTGTGAAAACTGGCTTACTGTATGAAATATTGCAATCAGCTTTTCGCGCAGGGTACTTTACCGAGTCTGCTCTGATCAGTTTAACTGACCAAATCCTCTTCAATCTAGATGAAGACAAGCTTTCTGGAATGGTTTTTGTAGACTTTAGAAAAGCGTTTGACGTTGTTGATCATCAATTGCTTCTTACGAAACTGCGCCTGTATAGAGTGAGTGATCCTTCATGGTTTGAATCATATCTTTCTGGTCGCCAACAGTTTGTCAGTATTGATGGTCAAAGATCAGACTCTCTACTTATCAAGCAAGGGGTACCACAAGGAAGTGTCTTAGTTCCCACACTGTTTTTGTTATTTGTGAATGACATTCCACTACATCTAACAAATTCAACTGTGGACGTTTACGCTGACGACACTACTATAACCGCAAGTGTGCATTTCTCGGATCTGTGCTCGATGATGCAACATTTAAATTCCGGTCTTGATGCGGTTCAGAGATGGGCGTCCTGCCACTAGACATTCAAACATAAATTTGGTGTGCCCCAAGTATAAACGAAAAACAGAAGGAGGTCGTACTTTCACTATTAGGACTATAAAGGACTGGAATTGCATGAATGCCAATATAAGAAATAATGGCTCGCAAGCAAGTTTTAAGCATGTTTTTATATCCTTTCTAGCTGAACAAAAGGCTGCGATGCTCCTTAGACTGTAATTGTATATATGTTTTATGTTGTTTTTATCCATCTTAGTCATAATGTCTTTTTAGAAATTATCTATTATATTTTATCCTAAATTATCTTTGAAAATAGTATATTTTATATTTTTTAGTTGTAGAATCTATATTTGTAAGGGCCACAAAGTCATCAGTGTCTTAAAACTGCTGTTAAATGTTTTACCCTCTTTAAATAAAGCCTATTATTATTATTATTATTATTATTATTATTACTAATCCTGCCAGACATTTCAATAACAAATTGAAAACATATTGCATTAAATATACTGAACTAATAATTTTAATTTTAAAAATAAACTGCTTAACTGTTTCATGCATATCTAGTTCAGGAGTGTCTCATAAACTAGAACTTAACAGCTTTAAAAAAATGAAGCAATTTTTAACATTAATTATTTAATTAATAAATTAATCAGTTGACTATGTAATGTAATAAAAAAAGAAGAAACATTAAAATTATTTTAATGTTTCTTCTTTGTTTTTTGCTTTTGCTGACAAAGATCAAGGTAGGAAATTGTTTTTTCATTGTACTAGAGTATAAAATTCTATTTACTTTGCTTTTCATTCAGGTATGAAACTTGAAAAGGAACATTCCAATACATTAAAGCTGGATGGCAATCAAAGCAGATATATTGGCATTGTCATTCGTCCTTTCAAGTCATGTGACACTGATGTAGTGCGTAACATATTTGCTGAAAGCATGGGAGAAATGCGCAGTCCCCTAGTCCGAGATGTCATGTACCAAGCCATTGTTTATGGATTATATTTATCATTACCAGCAGCAGTGCTAAGTGTTGTATGGTTTTCTTGGTTTTTAGCATTGTATTTTATCATTTTCATTTTCATTTTGATTGTTTTGTTTGCTGTGTTACACATTGGTTTCTCAAGGTACATTCAACGATGTTTAGACACTGATCTAGGAAACATAGAACATACATATTTCCAGCAAAAGATGTCGCACTTGTGGGTTGCAGAGTGCAACCAATTAGTAATCGGTATGGTAGCTCTCGTTCCCGATACCGACCACGAAGGATGCTTTGAAAAGTCTGGGGAAGTTGTCGGAAGGCTTCGGAGAATGGCTGTTTTACCAGAATTCCGTAGATTAGGTGTCGCCAAACAACTTCTTGACACGCTTCTGTCTTACGCGAAGCAAGTTGGGTATAAACAAATTGTTTTGCTGACAACCAGTGCTCAAGAAGCCGCTATTAAATTTTACACAAAGCATGACTTCCAACTGGTATCAAAGAGACTCGCCAACAGAGCAATGAGAGGATTTTACCATTTTGATTATTCTTATGACCTTGAAAGATGGAAATAAAATAAAGTATTAAACATAATAAATATCATGATTTATTATAAAAATTCCTAAAGATGGGCTGTTACAGTCACATACCAAGAGGTTTTTCACCCAGCTGTTGTTCATCGACCCCATATTATTGCCAATTCATGGAAAAAGAATTCAATAACGACACTGTAGCCACCAAAGCGTGAAACACTGATTATACAGCTCAATGGAGCTGGGTGTTTTCCTAAGGGGTATGAGCTAGAGAAACCCGTTAACATACTCAGACTTTATACAGCAGCTTAGTGAATTTATTGGCCAGTAAGTGAAGTGTTTGTGTGATGTTTAAAAGAGAGTAAAAACGTGTTTGAAAAATATATATAATATATATACTGGAATAAAGTGTATGAATGCCTAATGTACCCTCATTTCTAAGTGTTTCACCCCACATTAGGGAATCGGAATACCAGAATCCAGGAAGTTTTTGCTTTGAAATCTGGAATTCCCATAATCCAGAATCCCGGGTTTTTGTAATCCAAAATACTTCTTAACAAATCCGGAATCCCAATAATGATTGAAATCCAAGATCCACTGGCAAAGAATCTGTAATTTAGTACCTGGAATCTGGAATCCACAGCATGGAATCCAGAATCGAAGAGTGTCTTGGATTCCCTTACATTGGGCGAAGTGTAAAATAAGGGAAACAGCTGGTGTAAGAGACAAATATCTTTCACCATTTTATATTTGTTCTCTTTCTTTATTTTTTCTATCACTCTTCCTGCTTTAAGGATCAGTTCACTGTTTTAACTTCAAAATTTGGTATAAAGGTTAAAGATTTTACTGATTCAGGGCTACTAAAGATCCGGCTCATGACTCATTGGTTTGTGGCTGTGGTTTTGCCTTCACAAGTGTTTCTGATGCTTATAAGAGAGGGGGTGGGGGGCTTAAAAGAAAATTTGCGGTAAGATTTTAGAAGAGAAGAAATATACCGATCTCAAACTGCCTTGTCCCCGATTGCAAGTGATTACTTTTGGGGGATATTTGAGTTGATAGGCCACTTCCGAGTTTCAAAAGCCCTTTCAAAATGAGGCCAAGTGCACAACCTTTCTTGTGAAAACGAGCGTTATTTGCATGAGAATGAAAAATCATTTTGAGTGCTTAACCTCGTTTCTCTTACAGAGGCTCGGGGGAACGCGGTAATGACCTATTATAAAGCCCGGGAGGGACTCCCCATATGAAAGGGGTGGGCATGCTCGTCGTCTCGTTTAGGGGTATAAATTTCGGATTTTGGTCTCACTTAGGGTGTTCTGGGCAAAACGCCATCATATTTAGCCGTGAAGGTCTCGTTTAGGGTTGCACACGAAAAAATATAAAAATAAACATATTGTCTGTGTTTTAACATGGGCTCTCTTAGGGAGCAAAAAAAGCTTGGGCCCCGCCCAGATCGGTCTCCTTTAGGGGTTTAATTCAAAATTCTCGACGAGCATCCCCACCCCTCTCATATGGGGAGTCCCCCCGGGTTATAAAGGCTCTACCTAGTCTTCCTTGTAGCCGTTTTTGTCTCGTCACGCAAGAGGAGGAGCGTTGCGTGACGAGACAAAAACGGCTGGGAGTTAGACTTAGACTGCGAGCAGTCTCTCTTTTTCCTCAGATTTAGTAAGGGGAGTGCACGTGCGCGAGAGAGAGAGACGAGAGACGCCATTTGCGTGTCTCGCGTTTTGCTCGACGGTCTACAGAAAAAAGAGAGACTACTCGTAGTCTAAGGTAGACTAGGCTATGCGCCCATTCCCATCATCATCCCCCAGTCTCGCGCTACTTGCTTGTCTCCAGCTCTTACGCTTCTCGCTTGCTCCATGCTCCCTGCCCTAATGACTGTGGAGGAGACAGACATTTCCTTTCGGTCAATATCGTATCTGACAAGTACGCGCGCGCGCGTTTAGGTAGAACTCGCGCGAGGCAAACGTCAGCAGAAAAGAATTTCGACATACTTGGGTGGTATGATAATCTTCCAAAACATCCCAAATCAGATTACGCACCGATTACACAAATTCGCAAGGGTGAACCATTTATCAATCACGATCTGTACCCTTTCAGCTGTTTGCACAAATGACACTAACCGCACAGCTCAAAATCGGCAAAAACTTTAAGAAAAATAAAATTAAATAAATGAAAAATAGATTTCCAGATGATAAAATGGTAAGGTAACAATAGTGCTGAATCGAAGTGGCAGTTAATAGGTCTTGAATTTTACAGTCAATTCATAAGACGAGGGCCGGTTCTCTGTTATGAAAAGTCGGATAGCGATCGCGGATAGCATGCTCGCGAATATGCTTGTCGTTCTCGTTGAATATTGAAGTTATGCATGCAGAAGGGCTCTTCCGGAAGTTGATGTCATCTTAAAACAGAGGTTAAACGCGTAGTTATTGATTCAGCTGTTTGGTAGGATGTAGTTACGGAATGCAATTTAATCTGTTTATAAATGTATCACTTACATAACATACAGTTGCTGTATCGCAAAATCGAAAGTCATGAACGTTCGTTTTAGACAAATTTCTTCACAAACGGCCGCAATGAATGGAAAGAACAACTCCTGTTCTCTGTGCTACGGGTTCATATTCAATCTATTGGTTGCCCTGTGCACCATTGGCTTCTTGTGCTATTTTTTGTACCGTTTTGACGCAAGGTTGGTCACGCTGGAACGAAAGTGTGGAACAAGGAACATGGCGATGGCAGAATAAGTACAAAGGAGAGGATAGGGAGTTATGGCCAAGCAAGTCAGCACAAGCAGGCCATCCTTATGAGAAAAGCAAGGACTGGTGGCAAGGTACGTCTTTCGGAAGCAAAACAGCTGAAAAATTTGATTATTGAAGAACAATCAAGAACGTGATCTAACAAGTCTCAATCTTGGGAAATATCAGGTCAAGTTCGTCAGTCTCACTCCAAGGAGTTCATGAATACTTACGGGTTTCATACAGAATACAATTTACGTCCTCCTGGGGATGCGTTTGCCGGCGAAAGGATAACGCCAGAAACGCGCGTGTGACGCGCGTGGTAACTCAAAGAACCGGCGGCAAAAACGCTACAAAGCGATCAAACTCATAGTTCATCTTTAGCGGGATGATGATACTTGATATCAAGCTATTTAGCATATGTTTTATAAAATTTCACTGTTCAACTTGTAAAGCTATTCACGGCGGTGCAGACCGGATTGATTCTTGTTATGGCAAAATGCTGCAGAAAACGAAAGTAAAACAAAATTACTGTACCCTGCAATGAAATATTCATTTTTATAGCTGTACATATACATATGCCTTTGGTCACTGTTTCGTCATTCGGCTCCCGGAGTGATAAGTCAACTAATTTCTGCGCTAGAAAAGAAGACGTGGAAATTCTTAAAACAGAAAACGTGAAAATGAAAAATGGGACTGAAGCAAACCCTAATTGTAACCTTTGCTTTATCTCGTATCGAGATAAGGCAGATTTTTTTCGGCCCTTCGGGCCTCAGTTTGGTCTAAAAATAAGGGGTTGTCCTAGTTACCTATTAAAAGTTTATCATTGATGACGCAATCGCTAGTGATTAGCTTTTCGAAAGCAATTCGCGGGAAAGGCTTATCTAAAAATAGACCTACTTGTGAAAACGCCGTTGCATAGGGGCAGTATGGAAGTTAGACGCTCCGGGTTATGGGCTGCTGACCTTATGAAGTTCTGATATCAATAAATAAAGTTATTATTCATTCAAAATATTTCCCCGATTCTGATTGGCTAAAAGCACAAGCATAACTCACCATAACCAGCTACTGATGACCAAATTTGGAAGAATTTTGCGAGTAATCAACCCGATGACGTCAAAAGTGCAGCTTCCTTTGCAGGTTAATGCATCGTTAACCGAGAAGACCTGGGACGAGGTTGAGTTGTTTTAATTGTGAAACAAAAATGGCGGACATTTCACTCGTTTTAAGAGTAAGAACTAGGCGAAAAAATAGCTAAAAACATGGCAAGAACAGCAAGAAGACAACTCGAAGGTTGGAGATTACCGGGGCTTTTATTTTCCAAAGGCCCTTTTTGAGGGGCTTATTTTTGGAGGGGCTTATAAACGGAGGGAAGTTTGCGTTTCAAAATCGCCTGGGCTTATACTTGGAAGGAAATTTGCGTCTCAAAATCGATTGGGCTCGCTTATAGTTGAAAGGAAATTTACGTCAGTAATTTGCAGAAAGTTTTTACTGAAACTCGCCTTGAGGACGTAGACCTTTCTAAAACGTGGCCCTACAAATACTTTGTCCATATGGACCGAGGAAATCAAGGCCAAAAGTGAAGAGGAACCACGCAAACAGCAATTAACTTTGACACTTTCTGACTACAAAAACTTGGCAGACATGAAATAGTTCTTTGGCAAATACAAAAATTTATATGTTACTGTACCGTTTTTGCTTATTTTGTATTTGAGGGCACTTTCCAAGTACAAGCCCCCAGGGGCTTATATTCGGAGGGGCGATTTAACGGAGGGTTTTTTGCGTTACGAGTTTGAGGGGCTTATATCTGGAGGGGCTTATTTTCGGAATTTTACGGTATTTGCGGAGCTGAACAACCCTAAACGTGCACTATCGATGACGAACTTAACATCGATGAAGGTAAGCATGTTTTAGCTATGTTTTTAAACTAGGAATTATTTTGAATGAATAATAAAACAATTATTGAATTCGGCTTTCGTATAATATGAAGAATTATGGAGATCGAGGAGGGTGTTATCGATAACACCACGATAACACCCACCTCGATCTCCATAATTCTTCATAACGATACTCAGCCTCATTCATAATTGTTAAATAATTTGCAAAAAGTTCAACTTGTTGCTAAACAAAACCATAGTCCCCTGAGATCGGTATTTTTCCATCCGCTTTCCGCCGTCTGCAGGTATCTGATCCTCGTTTAAGGAATCCTGTTTCAACCTTAAGGTCTGCAATGATACCTTTTTTTGTAATTTATGTCATGTTCATTCCTACGTTCTTTTTTGAACCTAATAGCTTCTGCGCAACGTA